AAACTCCGAATTTATTACAACAATAAAAAGACGTCTCACCTAATACTGAAAAACAACTGCAGTCCTAGAGATAACTCTGAGTTAAAGCGTAATCACGTAATGTATGAATTTAATTGCCCCTTTGACGGCTGTGCACGTCAACATGACTCATATATCGGGATTACTACTACCTCACTGACTAGAAGGCTTACGATGCATAAACAGAGTGGTGCTATCAAATCTCATTTGGACTCAACACACTCAATCACAATTAGCCGTGAAATCCTCGACAGCAACACCAAAGTAATATACCAGAACAGCAACTACACGCATCTTAAAATTGCAGAAGCAGTCCTAATCGACATCAATAAACCAAAAATAAATATACAACAATAAATGACAACCTTACTTCCAACCCGGCGCTTAACCAACAACGAAAACAAAGAAGTAATAAAAACTAGCATCGTAAATAGTGACAAAGAAGAATATGATGCTATCGATGAAGAAAAGGAGACCAAAGAAGATGACCAGCCAATTAAGAAACCTGACACCTAATTCGCATCAAAGTTCAATTTTACAACACCAAAGTTAATTTTTACAACGTCAAAGTTAATCTTGACAAAGTCAATATTTCCCTATATATACAATAAGGAGCACTGACGATGATTCATTCGGAATCGAAATATGGCCTTATTTGCAGAATGAATTCGAAAAATAAGTTTATTTTGAATTTTAATAAACTAAACGTTCACCCAAAAACTTTAGTGAGAAAAATCGAATAAACGAACTACAAACATATTAACGCCATACATTCGGTAGAATTTATAGAATATTGTAAATATATATATATATATAATAAACGCAAATGACGCGAATTTGGAAATGTAGGGTTAACGCGTTCAGTCAAATTTTTGAGAATGTGCACGAAACGGGAGAAAGTTTTGTTATATATGGTATTTTTGGGAATAAAATTGTCTATTAAAAGATGCAATAAAATTAAATAAAATTTAATTTTAAAAAATTAAAAACAATAAAATGTCTAATCTCTCTGAAATTAATAAATTAAAAAGAAATATAAAAAAGTTGAACAATGTTGAAAGTAGTGTTGAATTATTGAAATATATATATATATACATACGTTGGTAATAGAACATAATTTTTACAATATTCTATAAATTCTACCGAATGTTTGGCGTTAATATGTTTTTAGTTCGTTTTTTCGATTTTTCTCGCTAAAGATTTTACATATATATATATATATATATATATATATATATATATATATATATATATATATATATATATATATATATATGTAATTTATAATATGAAGTTTAAGCCAAGCAAAATGTTTAGTTTTTTTATTATCAACCATAATTTGAAAATATGTGACAAGACTGAGAAAAATAGCTATTGTGATAATTTATTACCAATTTTTTAACTTAAAGGTGGCACTTTCAATTTGTGTTAGCTTTGGCAGAGTTAAAAATAGTTTAAAGTGATGTGTGATTTAAAGGTAGTAGCAGTTTAATAGATGAACTTCAATTCTAGCAGGAATGATTTGAAAATTTTAATGATTTTGAAAACATGGTAGACACTTTTTTGCTAGGAATCGTTGTTCATTTTTATTTTATGAGTAGATAAATTCCAGAAACATTTTTTGTTGTAAACTTGTCATCATCCTCGAATAATTCGACACATGTGTACTAACGAGGTCATCGCATTAACCACGGGTTCACATTGTAATGACGCGCTTAGATTTTATTCGATTAAATATTTTTGATTTTGATTTGTGAAATTAAAAAAACTGCATTTTCAAACACACGGAAGAAACTTCGCCCAATGGCACAATGTCACTCTTTGTCGTATGATAAGACTTTTAAGATTTTAGCGTGTGATAATATAATCTTCGCTATTTTGAACAACGTATAACATAGTTGAATAACATAAAAATAATTTAATTTATGTGTGGGTTAAGGATGAAATTCACTGAAACGCTATTTATTTTCGTCAATTTTTGTTGTTAGTTCAAATAAAACTTAATTTGCATATTTCGCAGAATTTTTTTCTTAGAAAGTGGATTCATACGAAAGTAAATAAACGAATAAACGCGAAGTCTTCATCAATGAATATCTATCTATTGCTTATAAAATTGTTTGAGTCGATTTACTATTTCATCACAAGTTTTGCTTTGAAAAGAAAAATTTCTCTCGGTTTGTATTATTTATTCCTCACACAACATACTTATACTCTTGAAAATTAGCTAAAATTTTCAAAAATCATCTAGAATTGGTTACACTGACATTTATTAAAAAGATCATCAGCAAAAATGTTTGCCCTCCTGGTTCAGTTTCTTTGTAGCAGTTTGATTACAGTTACAAGAGGTTACCATACTATACTTATCATTAAATATAATTTGAAGAATTTTAAAATTAAATAAATGATTTTCACATCTGAGGATATTTATCAATAAAAACGAAACAGCACCAACAGCACTCACGTTGATTTTATTTTTCCATCAAATTGAATTCGCGTAATATATTTTTGTGCAGTTGAAAGTCGAATAATTAAAAATAATCTAAAATTAACGTAATTTGTTTGTTGTTTTTCCAATTTTTTATAATTTCTGGTTCTTGAATATAAGCCATATTATGAAAAATTATGAATAATTAAATGAAAAGAAATTGAGAGAATCTTTCAGGGCTAGATGAGACCTTCAGTCGGCTTTAGACTGAATCCGGGCCCTAACTTTTTAGGTAGGTAAATCACTACTGAAACAATATATCCTGTTAAATAATAACCAGTCGAAGAGCCCAAATTTTGCGGTGAGGATGATTTTAAAATTTTAACGCTGATGACCTTTTTTCTTGTTAATTCCGCTTATACCCGTTTCAGTCGGGATGATTTTTAAAATACCCAAGTTAATGAAATTTTGGCTAATTTTCGTTTACTTTAAACGATATTTTTACATAAAATTTTCAATATTTTCTTTCCACTTTGATGGTCTGGTCCCCTGGATCCTCCACTGATATTAACAATAGTTTTTATTGTTTTTTTTGTCGTATAATTATTTTTGTCATTCAGTTTTACAAATTAAATTTTTAAATTATTGCCAAAAACATTGAAATGAGAAGTACGATGGAGTAATGATTGTTGCCTGGCATTGCTGATGATGTGACCGAGTGAGATTTTATAGAAATCCCCGCCATCACATGCAAAAGTTTGTGATGTGCGTTGATTCACATATATTTATATACTGTCTGTTTGTCGTGAAGGTAATAATGCGGTGATGTGCCTTAACTGCTTGTCGTGACGCTATATAAAGATGGCATTATTGTTATTAATTACGCATAAGAATTGAACAATACAGGTTGAACGTTTACCTGCAAGCATCTGCGTCAATATTATTATCAACCACAATCTGATACTAGTGTCCTTTCTATATCCGCTATAGTAAGTGTATGATCGGGCAATAACAACATAAAGCACCATGGTAACCTCTTGTGTCCAATACATCCACTTAGAATACTTATACTGGTCAGTGAACGCATCTGCGCTTATTTTGAGCGCGCTTTAAGGTCTGGTGTCATCCTTTATTTAGTTTTCATCAAATTTAACAATTTTTACATTTTTATAGTTTATTATTAAATATTTTTTTATTTAAAAAAAGTTTATTCATTTTCATTATTTTTTAATTGATTTATTTCACGCTTTTGCATAATATTTCAACATAGTTAGTATCTTTTTCCTGGTCTCACATGGCCCTAAATAACTTTTACAATTTTTAAAACAAGTAAATTCATATTTAGTTTTAATTATACATTTCTTACATGTTCAAATTTTTGAAGAAAACATGAAAATGTTAGTAATAACAACCACGTCACCCATCCTCTACTACCACCAATCAAAACTACAACACACAACCTTCGTCAACGCAAGCGTAACTATCAAGTCGTCACTCAATCAACATATCAGGAAAAGACCTTCATCACAAGACACCCTAAATATATTAGCACTCAGCAAAACTCAGCAAAACTCAGCAAGACATTAACTCAATCTAGTTCTCTTTCTACTTATCTATCACCTCATTAATTCAATAAGTCATTATTAGTCCATTAAAAAATTACTTTATTAATTCACCTTTTTATACCATTACTTTATTTTATTTTCAATACTTTTCATGTTTAAACATTTTTTTTCCGTTTTTAATTTGTTCATTACCATTTTATACTACTACCTTGCATGCTGTAACAGTTTCTGCGTCTGTCAGATCCTGATTTTTTAAAGAATTATAAAAAAATCTGATGGGATATGAAAAAATCTCTGACTTCAAAAAATCAATAGGAAAATAGTCTGCACCTTAAAAAACCCTCGTTAAAGCATGATTGTTTACATTCAATAAAAATAGCGCTAGTTTGCAAGAAGGGAATGGCGACCTAGGTGTTATCTTTATTTTATTTTGTATCTTCCGGGCCCAGACACCATACATGTTAATAAATTTAAGGGATGCAGATGCAGCCAAACTGCGGCTCTTCGAAGGATTACTTGCTCCTCTCGATTAATGTACCTGAGTTCCCTTTTCATTTGTTGTGTTATTATGTTTTAAAAAATTATAATCGTTCCATATATGTTTTTAAAAAATTTAAATCATTGACAATAAACACTGAGTGCAACGTTGTAACAAATTTTTATTTTCGTCCATGTTGAGAATAGAATTAAAAATAAAATTGTTGTCCACATTCATCTTGCAAATTTGGATAATAATTCTACTTTTAATTGTAATAAATTAGACCATTTCCAAAAAATTCTAGTAAAAAAAAATTGAAAAGACAAACTTTAAATTGGCGAATGTCAACAGTTCGGTGGAATTCATACAATGTTTTGTAAAATGTGGTCTTGTTCCAAGATATATCATTGCGCGAACTAACTTTTTTACCAAATCTTTTATTTGTTCAGCAATTTTTTGTTTAATCTTACTGCATCTATGTAATATAAACTTTAAAGCTTAATAATTTACTGATATGAAAATATGTCCAAATGTATTTGAAGGGATTAATTGCAGAGTATGTTATGCTATGAGTGATGCTTCAAACGATCCTTGCTTCCAGCCAAACAATTCTGCATCGCAACAATGCGACTCTGGAAAAACTTTTTGCTACATCGACTTAAGAAACAATGCGGGTTTGTCTTCATTTAATTCAATAAATAATGGATAGCTTTTTCAAAATAGCCTAGTTTCATCAAACATGATTTTCAATAAGACATGTATCATTATTCCACTACAGACCATTTATATACTAAATTATAATTAATGATATGCCACGTGGCAGTAACACGAACATATACATACGTATGTATGGAGTGAAATAAATCGAAACGGTTGATTATAATAATTATTATATGGCTTTCACATTTACATTTATAACCTGCTGCATTTGTTAAGTTTATGGACTGGTCAATATATCGGTTGTTTGGTTGATTTTTTTAAAATTATTTTATTAAATTGATTTCTTTGATAAAATTAGGAATGATATGCGATGACTGAAATTAGATTTTTATAGTTAAGTTAAACTTTTATATAATGTATAAAGACAATTTCTTATTTTTAACTTTTGATAGGTTCGAGAAAAGAAAATTAAATGTAATAAAGTTTATTTGTAGTTAATTGTTTTATTTGACATATAATATAATTAAATTTTCAGCTGGTAAAAAAATAGTGCGAGGCTGTTCAGATGCAGCTTTCAATAAGTTTGCTCCAGTCGAAGAAAATAGCATCTACGCCGCTATAAAGTCCTGCACTTCTGATGGCTGCAACGCTGGAGCGGTGAGAGAATATTTTCAGGATATCGAAATTGCGAGTGGTTTGTCAAGGAATGAGTTGGACAACAAGCTTCTAAACTAAAATTAATTATTTGTTAAATTTTTGTTGTTGAACGCTAATCATATAGCGCTACAAAATATCTATCAAATAATAATTGACCACATGAAATAATGTGCTATGTAAACACTGTGTAGGGTTTCGGTAAATTTGTAACATTATTTTTGAAACAACTAATATTTTTTGCCATAAACAATAAAATCCACGGTTTATAATGCTGCATTACTAAAATTCAATAAAATTTAACTTAAAAAAGTTAATGCTGAAGTTATTGAAATTTAAAAAATGAATGTAATTTTCAATCACTAATTTTTTAATTTTCAAAAACATTTTTCAGAAAATAAACCAATAAGCTAACTTATGATTTGACAAACAAAAATATTCGTTTAATGAAATAAAACTTAAAAATTTATGTATTAAAAGTAGCCAGTTGAACTATCATGAAAAATCTGGGTGGCAGTTATAAAAACGAACCAAACTGCCATGCAAGGATATCATGTGACGTCGAATGCATTTTTGTTGTCTATTTTTTTTTATCTTTTTCTAATAATAAGCAAAGATTGTTAAAGAAAGTATAAACCAATCAATCAATCAATTAATCAGTCAATCAATCGATCAGTCAATAGACTCCTATATTCTAAAAAGAATCTCCAAAATATGAATTTGTGGCTTTTCGTTTAAATGGTTTGCCGATTACCTACAAAATCTCTACTATGTTGATCTCGAAAATCTTCAAACCTTGTTGTTAAATATGGTGCTCCAAAGGGTTCTGTTTAGGACAACTTGCTGTTCCTAATTTTTTTAATAATTTATTTAATGTAGTTTTTTGTTTAACTCTGCACTAGCAACACTGCGAACTTCAAAACTCTGACTGCATTTGAGTTGCTACTATTTTCTCTTTTCTCCCAGCCATACATCGACAAGAAAATTGACACGACAATAAGGAGAACTAACGTAGAACTAACGATACTGCACATTTTTAGACTTTCGCGACATTAAACTGTTTAGATTGTCAGATATCCAAATCAGAAATAATTGTAGCTGCATATATTAATATCTTATTATCGTGAAAACAATTTGTTGAAAATCTGAAGCTTCTGTTAAGTTTGGTGCTCAAATTTGAGGTTTATTACAACAACATAATGACTTTGGAGTAAACTATATATATACATATATATTTATTTATATATAATATAATATAAATATATATATATATACTATATATACTTACTCGGCGGTTGAGTCTTTACAACCAGAATTAAACAGCTTGCATTGCAAGATAATTGGAAGCTTCGCCAATCCGTACATTTGTGATAATTTCATCGTTGATTGTTGGTCTTCATCGTTGATTGTTGGTCTTGGGAAAAATTGTTGGTATAATTCCCATTTACACTTTCTCATATCAAAAAAGTAGAATTTGTCAATTCTTATCTTCACATTTGCCTAACTGCACCAGGCTTGTTTGAATCTATAATTTTTGTGTGCCTTCTCTTTTGTTAGATATGATTGCCAAGTCATTGCCAAGTTTGTCCCCTTAGGTAGCCATAGTTGGCAGCGAAATAATTTTAAAATTTATTTTGAATTATGATAGGAGACTGGTCAATATTGTTAATGATAACAAGAATTTTGATGTAACCTAAAAGAATGCGTTTGCATCAGATCAATAAGCTAGTGATTTGGGCAGTTTAATCTCTGACAGTTGCTTCAAAGTTGGCGAGTATGTTGACGTGTGCTTGAAAATTGATTACGAATCGTCTTTATTGCTGTTTGTTTCTACCTCAAGAGTAGCTAATTGAAGAGAATTATTATGTTTCGCAAAACCTCTAATAAATCGATAATCCTTTCCTATCTTTGCAGTTTTCCAACGGCAACAATTTCACTCGTTATTTTAGTTGTCAAGTAAAATATTATTTAATGTTAATAAACTTGAAAAATATCAATATTACTATCAAGTAAAGTAATCAAATTTGTGTTAGAACGTGAAGTTGGTGCCTGTTAATTTAATAGATTGTAAGTTTTTAAAATAATGCTGACAAATTGTTACATTTGCTTAGTAAAAGAATTGAAAATTTAAATTTAAAAAAATAAAGTTAAGATTAGCGATAAAATTTAATTTTAAAAACACCACCATCTTTCCGCAATTCTTCCTATTATTAAATACCAAAATACAAAATATAAATGCTTGAAAACAGTGTACAGTGTAAAAACGACTTTCGTGTTTAAGTTGTAATTATAATGGTGGTTTATAAATTTTTCTATTAAAATTATTTTTTTTATTTAATTGTGTCAGAATGTTTTTTATTTAATTTTGTTAACTTTTTTCTAAAGAATGTTTCTCCCTTTCCAATTAATTAATTTCTAAATGTTAATTAATTAATTAATTTCTCTAGTTTGGTTTTGATTATATTTGTTGCTACAAAAGCCAACGCCTGACATTGCAAGCCTTTTCAATATTAATTGCAAATTTTTAAAATAGCAGGCTCCATCTTGCTATCTTTGAGAAAACTTTTCAATTTTTTATCTTGACAATGTAAGCAACTTCAATGTAGTCGAGTAAATGAATGAATAATTTAGAAGCAGAACCTGATGTTGCTTCCTCCAAAGAAATTAATATGCCCATCACATCACGATCACCGGAATCCAATTTTATTTTGCAGAACACACTCAACCGAAAGTATATAAAGAAAGAAGCAGCTACTTAAAAGCAGGATTTACTACACAAAGGAAATTTTTGAAGTTTTAAGATTAAATTTAAACATTCCATAGTTTCGGTTTTACGTTAATTATTAAATTTGCAGTTTATCAATAAATTTGAAGTTTGCCACTAAATCGGGCATCATTGGTCTTAACGATGAAACATTCATTGGTAACCATTTACACCTGTCTCGTTACGATATTCATATTGGTACATGTCTGTCTGACTCAAGATATTTTGGTAATTTTTTATTCTTTAAAGTGTTGCATGTTGCAAAACAAAAGTATGAGAAAAGCAATATATTTTTAAATAAAAATAATAATTTAATCTAATACATCTCTCAAACTGACATAACATTTATTGAAATAAATTTATTTATTGAACTTTTGGATAAAGGACGAGGAGTCACTAATTAAGCGTGTGTTCTGTAACACGTTCTATGGCTGTAGAAGCAGCGTGAAGAAGTCAGAAGATCTCGGCAACAGGATATTTGGAGGGCACGTCAAAAGCTCCATGGTACCGCTGAAAAATTTTTATCCACCCTTTCAATACAGATCCTTCCAGACTGTCAACCATATCAATCCCCTCGATTTGTCTGATTATTCGAATTGATGAAATTAGAATGTGCCAAATAACAAAAATTGTTCGTGTTTTTATATTCGTTCGTTATAAAATAAATAAAGTTTTATTTCGTGATTTAGTTGATTTTATTATTGGGAATTTTATTGAATAATAATTCTTTCACACTGCTTTTGAATTTTGATTTTCAGAATGTTTTGTAATAGAGTACTTTTAAAATTTAAAAAATTTCAATTAAAGGCAAGTCGAATTTTATCTAGCACAACAAACGACTTCTTTGATTCTCTTCCCCTTTTCATAAGACTTCTTTAACAAACGACTTGACTGCTTACCTAACAAAGCAAACTGTATATATAAAAAAAAAATAATAATTTTTCCTTTTAATATTTTCAGACTTATTTTAACTATAAGAAATTTCGTAAGGTAATAGTTTTCACTTGAAAGGTAAAGATAAATAAAAAATAATTTTCAGCCTGCCTGAATTCAAATTAATATAGTCATCATTAAACTTCACCACAATTTGTAAATTTTATTCAGTATCATAATTTAAATTAATTATTGATAAGTTTAAGAAAAAACGTCGTCATTTAACAAATCTCGAAATCTTACACCTTCTCTCTCTGGAACGTTATGAAATAGAGGTTAAAAGATTAAAAGTCAATTACATTCATCTAAAGTTCAGAGGATTCAACAAAGCGCACAAGCATCGTAAATGAATACGTGCTAAACGACGCATCACACACAAAACATGTGATAGGCGGGGATCTTTTTTTGTCATATTCGAACCCGGTTACTGTGAAACTGCACCAGGCGACCTTAACCATTAGACCATCACGCCGCCAACAACAGGGTTCGGGTATTTCTCAGTCAATTGCAACGAGAAATACCCGAACGAAAGACAATTAATAACTTTCTCTGCGTCATCAAGGACAATCGTTCATTAGTTTTAATAAATTAAAATGAACTTATAAAAAATAATTATTATTTTTTCGATTTAATTAATTATTATAATTATTACCATATTTCATAAATTACTACATTAATTATGGTTTTTTTCCATTATATATATATATATATATATATATATATATATAGAAAGAGAGAGAGAGAGACAGAGAGAGAGAGACAGAGAGAGAGAGTAATGAATTCAACCGAATTGTTGGTATTAATTAATTTAAAGTTTATCTTTTCAATTTTCCTTACTAGAATATTTTGGAAACTGTTCAATTTATTGAAAATAGAATTATTATCCAAGTTCATCATGAGAATTTAATAAAACTGTTGTCATCCAAATTCCTCATGCATGATGAATTCTATGTATTTGTGTGCCTGCCTGTATTGCACTGTATTTCTGTGAAAAATAAAGTATGCAGCCCACCCACCTACTCAATCTCACGTGGAATGATTTCAATAATTTAGTTGTCTCATTGGACAAATGTTCATCTTTCTTAAAAGAAACCGCGTTCTGTTTTTATTGATTTTATTCGCCATTAAAATGGAAGTACGTTGTAATAAAGCACAGTGCAGTGCTATACCTATTTTTATTGCATTTGACAGAAAAAAATCACACGCTGCATCTAGAAATAGGTGTCTGCATGCATGCAAGAATGAATGAGATGTTTCGTGTTTCCTTACATCCGATCAACTCACCTGTCGTATCTCGTCAACGAGAAAAACTGAAGATGCTGATGACGTGATGACGATACAGAATAGAACGATCAATTGAATGATGGCTACCAGGCTTGTGCTGTGACGTAAATGATGACGAAGTCCTTTTGTTGCTGTCACGTCATATAGTTAATGTCATTAAAACGTCTTATATAGTTTGTATCATATTTCGTTCTTTATAAAAAGTTATTTCTTAAACTAAGTTCAAAATTTTGAAATTATTCCTTAAATAAACTCTAAGTTATTAATAGACAAAGACAAACTCGATGCGCGAATGCAAGCTTCACGCCGCGCTTCTTGTTTAGGAACTGGAACTATCTTTTAATAAAACAAGTTAATTACATTTTTGTTGCGTAATAATAACTTTTAAAAGATTTGTATTAATATGTTTATGACATTAGATATAGATTATTTTTAATTATTTAAATGAACAACTTGTTTATTTTATAAATAAATCTTACCAAACGTCGCAAGCATCTTTAATTGGATAAAAGTTAGGAGGGTAGCATGCTGGCCACTTCATTATACATTGACACATGACCTGGAGCAGTGTCTTGCTGAAATTCATGGTCCCCATCTTGTATAGATAAATGAGATGATATTTTACAACTTTTATGCGCTTTGCCAAGTTTTGTTTGCCGTTTAAAAAGGTCTAATTTGCTTTTTCCAAACAAAAAACACCTTCACAGACCATGGCGGGGTCACCTACAAACTTCTTACTAAAATTTTTCTTCTTGAATCGTGTTAATAATTATGGTGGCCATTAAAACCGTCTAGTCGGAATTTTATTTTGTCTGAATGTAACACTATCTTCCATTTCCACCCATGAGCTGCTTTTTATTGAATGAATGAAATACATATTTTGGGTCGTTTTTCCAAAATTGGTGTCCGCATTTTTTCCTTAAACATCAACTGACCGTTTTGGAATTCAAATAATTTCAGCTGTTCTCACATTTATACTCAAAGTTAACTATCTTTTCAACTGTCTGCATGGATAATTTCCACTAAAGGGTTCTTTAACAATGCAACGCTGTGCTTTTGAAGTCAGTTGTTTAGCTGACATGGAACACATTTTTAACATGACCCTGCTTTTCGAGAAATTTTTTAATAACATTCCTTCACCGATTTATTCGTTTACATTCTTTTGGAAATTTTGACGAAAGCCAAAAATAATCCCTTTTCAATATAAATATCAAAGTCTAAACCATGTTAATTTCATTTTTTCTATTAACTTTTTTTATTATTTATTAATATTTTTAATACAAACGAATTTCAACGTTTTAATTATTTATGACCATGAAAGTATAGGCAGATATTGTCACTTCTGTTTTCTAGACCACGAATACAATTGGTTTTTATATTTGCAGAATATACTTATTTTAATTGAACAAAACTTCAAAAAGCAGTTTAAATAATTATATTTCACCATATTTTAAATTTGAATGTGATATTAAGGTACTTAGAAAAACTATGGGCGGGCGTTTTATCAGCACACACATACGCACGCACATATGCACACACACAGATATATATATATATATATATATATATATATATATATATATATATATATATATACACAAATATATACGTTTGTAAAAATATCTACAACAGTTTTGAGATTAACAACCGTTGGCTGTGAGCGCTGATTTTAGTGGGGCTGTTCAATTTAAATATTTTCTGATAGACAGCAATAAGAATTTTTAATATATCAATTGATTGATCATATGTTATGATTAGTTTTTGCAGAATTTCTGTTCAACTAACTTTTTGATGGGATGTGGCATAAGTTTTTGCGAAGAAGGTAACGGAATGAAAGGCAGACAGAACAAAGTGAACAATAACTCCTTACAAAATCAAATCTTCCTCAAGATCGGAAGTCAGATCAACTGCAACTTCACTCCATTCATTATGTTTATATTCGGTAAGTTAATTTGACCGTCTATTGCTCTTCATTAAATTAGTTTTTCATGTTCAAGAATATCTAAATGAATGAGTTCAGATGAAAAGTAATTGAACATATACGTAATATACATAGTTGGTTATATAATAAATATATTAATTAATTAATTAATTAACGAATGAGTGAATGGTCGAATGAACGAACGAACCAAAGAACAAACAAAAGAATGAATGAATGAATGAATGAATGAATGAATGAATGAATGAATGAATGAATGAGAATGAATGAATGAATGAATGAATGAATGAATGAATGAATGAATGAGAATGAATGAATGAATGAATGAATGAATGAATGAATGAATGAATGAATGAATGAATGAATGAATGAATGAATGAATGAATGAATGAATGAATGAATGAATGAATGAAAGAACGAACGATTGAACAAACGAACGAACGAACGAACGAATCAATCAATCAATCAATCAATCAATCAATATCAATCAATCAATCAATCAATCAATCAATCAATCAATCAATTAATGAATCAATGAATCAATGAACGAACGAACGAACTAATTAATTTAAATAAATATATATATATCAAGAAATATAATATATATACTAATGAAAAGAAGAGAGAAATTTTAGTTATATATCGTGTAATATGATAAAAGTGGTTATAAGATCACGGACAAGATCATTCAACAAATACTGATGCTGGAATTTGCGATGTTTGAAATAACGCCAGGCTTAATTACCTCAAACAACAAACGAACAAACAGGTGGGCCAGGATCAAATAAAGGACTCATAGTCAACAATTTGGTCAGCTGCTTCGATTTTAACTACATCTCCAGTGAAGAGACATTTCTGGACGCTGAAAGTGAAAAATTTGTTGAGGTATGTTGTTTATTACTACAAATAAGCTCAAATTTTTATTTTTAAGTTTCGATTAGTTGAGACTTTTCGAAGTGGGTCGTAGGTGGCATTTTAATGTTTTTAAATGAATTAAAATGTTCAATCTAGCTTTTAAACGATTGTATTTTACTATAAAGGTTTATTGAGCGGCTCAACGAGTTGATTTCTGAATCATACTGTTAAATCAACTGGTGGTGAATTATAAATCTTGGCTTGAACAGTTGAAAACATTTTAACCTCAAAACAAAATGTTTTGAGCCGAAGATACGCAAAATCTTCATGCTATTCTGATCTCTCTTAATCTACTTGCGAGTAAAGGAGACGTAAAATAGATGTCAGGTTAAATCTTTTCTGCGCTAACAAACCTATCAACAAGACCTCAAGTTGATTCTTTTTTTAAGATAACATTGTGTTATAAGGTCTTTGATGAAGGCATTAAACGTAATTTTTCCAGGATCAAAACTAAGCCAAGAACCTCAAGGTCAACAACAGACTCCTAGAAATTCTTTACCCAATTTTTAGCTTTCTAAAAATTTAGTTTCACTTTGTTTGCTTATGCTCAATGTTCCACCGTGCAATTGAATTTGAATTTATAACCCGATGGCTTATTCATTGAATTTAACTGAGACGAAGCCGTTCGTGTGTACGTTGTCAGCATATAAATGACTGCAAAGGTGAACATTTCAATTGTCCGTGAAATAGAAAATTTAAAAAGAGTATCTAAAAATCGACTATAGGATGCACTGCATACCATCCTATGTTGGTGTAGCAGATTCTTTATTTCTATTTTCTATTCTCTTTATCTATTTTCAATTATGAGATGAAACTTTCATACATTCATTATATTTTCACTTTTTATAATAGCGTGCAATTATATGAATCCTCTTAAAACATTTTCAACAAGCAAGCGGCATGCTATTATTATTGTTACCGTTTCACATGGCATCTTGCAAAAGTATCAGCATCATTTTTTTCATCCAGTTTTTTAAAATAATAACTTTATAAACGTTATTACAATTTGTTACAACTTATTTCAGTCAGCCGACAATTTTTTAATTGCTGATTGGCTGATGTCCAAATTGAAGGAAGAAATAATGAAAGACAGAAGCCTTCGATACTTGGTCGATCTTGTTCCAAATAAGAAACCCTACTTGAGTAATCAACTGAAGAGGAAGGAATTTGTCAACTATTTGTTTGATTTTGAATTAGAAGTTGGTACAAACGTATTTTTTTAAATTTCTGAACGAAATGTTTTCATAAATTGTTCAAAGTTGTTCTCTCGGTAGTTGAAATTCCCTGGGTTTCCATAAAGATCACTCTCTATTTTTACATCTTTTCTAAAAACGCAAATACTTTTTCGATTAATTTTTCATAGAATTGCTTTCAAAATATGTTTCGTTCAAAAATGTTATGAACAAAAATAAAAGGCTGTCGTATCGTTAATTTACACATTCAACTGTGTCTCGTATTCGTGCAGTGTGAATGTTGTGTGTATTGGATGGGATTTATATCGATAATGAATGCAATATGAAGTTACCGATATTTTTCTGTCTTAACAGTTACCGATAAGTTGTGGCTTAAACTTATCGGTTCACAATGAAAATGTTACAACAAAAAAGAAGGCAACAAAAACCCATTCAACATCGGGTAACAAAGGAGATGAGGCTGATATTCTACGGATGCAGGTGCGCTGAACATTAGTTCACTTTTAAATAATTCTTACTTATCAGCTAAATTTTTTTACATATTTTATTTTGATTATGCCAAAGTTTTTCAAAAACAGTTTTAATTAATGTTTAGTCAACAAGATGCCTTTATCCAAATTACATAAAATGAAGCACGGTAATTAATGGTTACTTGTGTATCTTCTTTCGTTCTTTATAATGCACTTCAGATATACGCAGAACTGCTTACATGTTATACTAGGCTCGTATTTAAACTTTCGTATTTAAACTTTCGTTCCCCAAAGGCTGTAGCATCCACACCTCACGAAATACACACGTGTTTTGTACAGCCTACTAGCACAAGCACCGCATCCTACGCGCATGGCATCTGTTTTGGATAGACAGTATTCGAACTTGGCTATCGCGTATAACGGCGCGAGACATGACACTCTTACCGACTGAGCTAACTCGCCGACCATATCAAATAATATCAAACTACTTTTTTTACAACAAAAACCATTTTGCTAAAAAACTATTTGATTTGTCGATAAATATTTGTTAACACCTGTTAAATAGAACAACATTATTTTCAATGAGAAAGGTTACAAAATACGTGTAACTTAATTTCAGCCTTTTTTTAAATAATTTTTAAGCATCAGTTCGAGAAAGAAAAAAAGCTCAAGTGTTGCTTGTGTTAAATTCTAAAAAATTTGTCTAAATTTGAGATCCCATTATTTATCGATACATTTACGGTAACGCTGATATTTGAATTAAATCCAACAACTTTTTAAAATGTTCACTTTTATTATATCGTTATTTCTCGTTATTAAGCATACCGTTTCGTTTCGTTTCCTTCGATAAAAATTAATAACTGGAGGTAGATGCATGGAGGTCGCATCCACCGTCAACCAACCACTAATTGTGTAAGCTACATCAATGCAATAGTCATTCAACCTTTTATGAGCAAACATTTCTTGGGAGTTGGGGCTTAAAAAGTTTAACATCAATAAAAGTAATTGTTGATCAATCAAGCAATTTCAAGTAGAACAACCACGACGATTGCGTTTTCGGGTGTAAATCGGCATTTAAATTTAACAAAAATTAAAAAATTCAATTAGCAAAAGATTAATAAGCGCTGAATGAAAAACAATTAAAACAGAAGCGATCAGCTCAATACGAACAGGGTGTGAAGAATATGGTGGAATATTTTGACACCTTGAACAAACTCATCACAATGGACGTTCCCTGGACTTCACGCAACTTGGCGGACGTCTGGACCAAACTGCACGACATCCTCTGCCAGTTCAACATACAACCAAAAAAGAGTGTCGATTCAGTGTTCATTTTCACATTAGGTTGTTTCAATGGTCATCATGAATTAAATAATTTTTCTCCGTGCCACTGAAATGATGATGGTTATAATTATAAATCGCACTAGACATATTCAATTAGATCTGAGCATTTTACGTTGAACTAAATTTTTAATTTGTAGGCGATCAAATAACGCCAGAAAATAATTTGATGAAGTCACAGCTGATCGATCTCTCTGCAGACGTTACCAACGACACCACCATTGTCAGTACTTTCATAATTGCTTTCTAATTTTAGTAACATAGTTCACTGATTCCTTTAGTTTACATCACACGTATGTATGCACTACATACGTGTGCACAATATATATATATATATATATATATATATGTGTGTGTGTGTGTGTGTGTGTGTGTGTGTGTGTGTGTGTGTGTGTGTGTGTATGGATATATATAGTAGATATGTATGTGTAAGTATGTATGGATATAAAAAGTAGATATTTATGTGTATATATACAAGACAGTAGCTTGGGGGTGCTGCAGCCCCCTAGCTACTGTCTTGTATTGCATGTTAAAATGCGTGCAAATATAATTGCATGAACGTTTATTTTAATTCCTACACACATAAGCATGTGAGTTTACTTGAATGCCTACAATGTAAAAACTATCCCTCTAAAAGAATACCGAAGCTATCATGTTAACCCTAGAAAATTGTTAAATAATTGAGGAAAGTTAAAAAGATATTACGATTTAATAATTTTTTAGAACTTTTTCCAGTTTTTTACGTTTTCCTTGATTTTAATTTTAAAAAAAGTATTCCGACAGTCCCCCCGAAAAATAATCCTGGCTATAGTCTTGTATATATATTTGGAAAAGACTAATTTATACACTGCTTGATGAAATCTACTGAACTTTTAGCGTCTGATAATTTGTTGTTGATGAATTGATATTTATCGAAAGCTAAAAATGTGTGTGTGTGTGTGAATGATTGAATAAAAGGAAAAAGAAGAATTGTGTTGACAGGATATATAAATGTTTCAAATTAGCACCTTGGAAGAATTGACCCTTATTCACCTGGTTCGAAAGCAAATACATTCCTGCTTGTCATGCGTTTTGTGACTTTTACATTGCTTTTGGTTCGTAGCAAAACTGAACAAATGCCACATCTCTGTTGGCCAGCATCATCAGAACAAACAATCACCATGCGGCTAAACCAAAAAGTTTAAATTAAAACTAATGCAATTTTGTTAATTTTTCATTTTTAACCGTGAATAAAAACGACTGAAACGCTTGAACATTTTGGACATCAGGTTGTTGGCCATTAGCATGATGTATGAACGATTTTTAATGGCAGGATAGCTGGCTAGAAGCTGTTATAAAAAGAGTCGATACAAGTTTCAATTCCAGTGGTATTTTCATCATAAACATTCCTGCCACAATTTATGATCACAGAAGATACAAAGTTAGTTATTGCAACAATTGGCATTTCCCCATTGTTTAAATAACTTACCTATATAATTACCGAAATATTAATCTCATAATTATTGGGCAAACTGCAAAAACAGAAAAATTTGTACCCGTTTTTTCTTGCCAATTAGTATCAATAAAACTTTCGAAAAATATTTCAAATTGACTACGAATTATTATTATTATTTTTTTATGTTTATAATTGATTATTATTTAGAATGATTATGAATATTGATTATGAATTATAAAAGCCTATGCTTAATCATTAGAAATTTTAAAAAAATCCACCAAGCGATTCCATGACGCTTTTGCAAATATCAACGTTTGGAATTTTCATAAATTTTCTTTCTTAGTTTGAAAAAAAAGTTAATTTTCAACTCATTTACAGATAGTTGAAAATTTGAAGCCTAAAAATGTCTGCTTCAGAGAATCGAATGCCCTACACGGCCTGCTGCACAACATTCTTCCCAACTTCACCTACAAAGCTGTCACAACGCTGGAAAACGAAACTTGGGTTTTTCCCCTTCGCTTGGACAACAAATTTTGCTCACATATCACTAATAAATTAACATCAATAAGAAAGTGTTCTTCGTCTTAAAAACAACTATGAAAGTTATTCAATGTTTCTGATAATAAAAATGTTACATTGCTAATACCTTTAATTTCGTAAAAGTTGATTTCAAACCTATTTGGTGCGTAAAGCAGGATTGTTAATTTTTAAACGTTTTTAAATTTGATTTATGAGATGAGATCAAGCTATTTCGTTCGTTACAATATACGGGAAGATAACGTAAAAGTTAATGGTGTGCTGTCTGGCTTTGCGTTACATCGACCGGCTTTAAATCTCCTTAATTTTATTTTAATTAAAAAAAAATCATTCATGGATGCATAAGTGATCAAATTTTCAAGTACCCTTAAGGCCTTAATTATATACAAAAATTCTAAGTAAAAAACTTCAATTATGAATTTAGTTAGAGCAACAATTAAAAATTATAACAAATTTGTGCTCTCCCTATCTATTCATTAACCGTACTCATAATAAATTAATTAAATTAAGTTTAAACAAAATACTGTCTGTAGATATATACAACTATTTTACTGTATCAGTGGCGGATCTAAACAACTTTGGTGGAAGAGGGCCGAAATTTTGAAAATGTTCAAATTAAAAAAAAAATTAAATAGTTTCTAAGGTATATAACCATTAAACTGCCTCAGGGGTGGATCTAGACAACTTTGACGGAGGTGGAGGCCAAAATGTTAAAAATACTCAAATTTTTTCGGGGGACCAAGATTTGTTGTTGCGTGGCTTAAATTATACAATTATAGAAACTTACATGTAAATTTTTATAATCGTAGAAACTTGTATGTAAATTTTTCTCGTGAAACTCCTTATTCGTTAATTTTTACGGTTTGTGCAAAGAACACCAGCCAACAATTTGGAATGAGAGGTCACTGTGGCAAGCTGGAACATATGCAATGCGGAAAAAAGAGCTTGAAAGGTTTAGATATGAAGTGGTTGGTTTGTGTGAAGTTAGATGGACAGTAAGTGGAGAATTTGAGAAAGGAAAACTGTTATGGTCAGGCACAGAAACCGAGCATATTCATGGAGTTGGAATGATTCTTGGAAAGAAAGCAAGAAGAGCATTAACTGAATACAATCCCGTAAATGACAGGTTGATGTATGCCAGATTCAAAGGATATCCAAGAGATATTATTGTGATAGTTGCTTATGCTCCAGCAACAAATCATTCGGATGATGAAGTTGAAACGTTCTACGAACAACTGGAACAAACATTGAAAACATTACCAAAGAAAAATGTTAAGATCGTTGTTGGGGACTGGAATGCTAAAATTGGAAGTGACAACATTGGATTTGAAGAAGTTATGGGAAAATACGGTGTAGGAGATAGAAATGATAGAGGAGAAAGGTTACTAGAGTTTGTGAAGGACCGACGATTGTATGTCACAAACACAAAGAGGCAAAACAACAACAAATGTACTTGGGAGTCACCAGACGGAAAAACAATGAACATGATAGGTTTAATACTGATAGAACAGAAATGGGTGAAATTTGTCACCCAATGTTGAGCTTTCCCAAGTGCAGAAATTGGATCAGATCATCGCCTTGTCTTATGCAACGTCACCAGCTTAAAATAGGAAAAAGCATTAGGAAAGTGAGATACAACACAGAAATGATAAAGCAAAAGATAGAGGATATCAAAAATAAAATCGAACATGAATTGGACTCAGCAGCCAATTACGATATGAAAACAAGAGTTAACAACCTAGAAAAAATTTTCAAAGCAGCAGGTGAAAGTTGTAAAATCAAAACGAGCAAAATAAAACCGTGGATAAGCGATGAAACATAGAACCTTTTAGAAGAAAGAAGAAGTTTGAAAATGACAAAAAGACAGAGTGAATAAAATAAGATAAAATACAAAGAAGTCTGCCAAAAAATAAAAAAGAGTGCTAGAGCAGATAAAAGGAGATGGATTAATGGTAAATGTGATAAGGTAGAGACGATGATTGGGCAAAACAAGACAAGAGAGGCGTACCAGCTGGTTAAACAGTTAAAAGGAAAACAGAAAAATATGTCAAGGATTATTAAAGATAAAAACGGAAACATCCTAACAGATTAAGTAAAAAGATTAAAGATAGATGGACTGAATATATTAAAGACTTATTCACAGACAAGAACACATACAAAAAAGAAACGCTTGAAATTCGAAAAGCAGAAAAATAATCAATGAAGAAAGTGTAATAACGAGGAAAGAAATTACAAGAGCAATAAGTAAAATGAAGAACAACAAAAGTACAGGGAAGGATGGTATTCCGATAGAACTGATAAGAGCAGGAGGACAAGTTGTGTGTAAAGAAATTCGCATAATCTGTCAAAAAATTTGGGAAAGTGGAAAGTGGCCAGAAAAATGGTGCAAGTCAGTTCTGGTTATGCTGCCGAAAAAGGGAGACCAAAAAGACTATAATAATTACAGATGAATTGCACTAATTTTGCACATATGCAAGATCATGCTGACCATCATAAAAGAACAACTGGAAAAGGTCATAGAGCAACATCTGCATGAAGAACAAGCAGGCCTTAGAAAAGACAGAAGCACGATCCAACAAATTCTGATGTTGAGACTGCTGATGGAGGACGCAAAAAATAGCGGTCAGACAATTTACCATTGCTTTGTTGATTTTAAGAAAACGCTTGATTCTGTCCGGCATGAAGGTTTGTGGGCACCATTAGAAAGTATTGGGACATCAGAAAAGCTGGTCAAAGTACTGAAAGGACTTTATGAAGAATCAAAAATGTCGGTAATAATAAGAACAGAACTTGGGGATTGGATAAAGGCAGACATTGGAAGCAGACAGGGCGATCCAATATCACCAATACTATTCATAGCATTGCTAGAAAGAGCAATGGAAAAATGGAAAATTCGGAATTGGGTGGAATTGACATAGGAAAGAGAACTGTTAAAAACCTCAAGTTTGCAGACGATATAGACCTTCTAGCTTCTAGTGAAGAAGGTCTACAGAAACTAATTGAATTAACACATGTTGGTGGAAAAGATCACGGGTTGCATATCAACAAAAACAAAACGAAGGTGATGATTACGGGAAAAGGCAGAAACAATGCAGAATTTAAGATAGTATCAGAAAAACTCGAACATGTAGACCGGTTTGTGCATCTTGGCAGTCTTATAACCTGTGACAACAACTGCACCAAAGAAATTGACAGAAGGATAGCAATAGCCCATGAAATGTTCGCATCATTGATGGAAATATGGAAAAGTGGAAATATATCTATAAAAACAAAGTTGAGAATGATAGAATCTTGTGTTTTTCCGAACTTGCTCTATGCATGTGAGACATGGACAATAAAGAAAAGAAAGAAAGACAGATTGGAAGCATTTGAGATGAAGTGTTACCGAAATTTGTTGAGAATCAGTTGGAGGCAGAAATTAAAGAATGAAACCATCAGAAATTAACTTGGAAGACAGAAAAGTGTATATGACAAAGCCAGAGAAAGGAAATTGAGATTTTTTGGACACATTTGATTAAGATGGTACTAATGAGGAAAAGAGATTGGAAGAAAAAAATTGGTAGACCTGCAAAGAAATGGATAGATGACATTACTGAATGGACTGGTGTTGGTATTCTGAATTCAATAAAACTGGCCAAAGATAGAAAAGGTTTTTGGAAAGAAAAAAGGAAAAATAAAAGTAAAAAGCATGCTTAGATGTACACCATCGGCCTTGACGGTCCCCCGATGGACAAAGGAGGATCATTGATTGATTGATCGACCAGCCAACAAACTAAACAAATTTTCCCTTGCCCCTTTTAATTTAATATTTGCCTCTTCATTAACATTCATTAAACATATTAGGCAAACCGCACTAATAAATGTGTGATGCAAATGATCACCTACTAAATAATTAAAAAAATTTTGAGAGGTCAATATGCTATTATTCGAATGTTATTAAATAATGTTTCTACAGAAAAAATAACTGAAAAATGAACAAAAGCGATTAATGTGAACACATTTTAACAAAGCATCCGTTCATTTTGGCAGGATTGAATAATGCTACAATCTCAGCGGTCGATTCACGAGAACGAAGAACAAATAGAAGGTGGTTAGGGAGGTAGTTTTTATTACGGTTTTGCGATGGAATGAATGTGGTTGATGAGTTGCTCGCACAAATAACTGTTTCGATGTTTGTACCTGACATCAGCAGCCAACTTCAACAGTCGATCTGGATCCAGCGTGCACGATTTCTGCAAGGTATCTGAAGATATTTGAAAAAATTAACTTCTAAACTTTACATTTCAAATTATAGACACATATCATAGAAAGCTGCATAGTTATAAGCACTCACTATAAATAGCTGTTTGAACGTCAACGTTGTGATCATCGAGGTGTACGAGAAGTCCTTTGTAAATTTCTTCCAAATGAGCTCCGTAAAGAGGTACGTTATAAGAAGGCAAGAGGCAAGACATGTAAGAGGCGAAAGTGTCGGCAGCCGCTATTCTCACTTCATCATTGCTGTCATCCAATCTCTTCAGCAAATCAGGGTACATGTTGTACAGGATGTTATCTTCAGGCACCTCTACCGTGGCGATGTTGAATAAACGTGTCAACAAGTTGCATGTTGTCAATCTCGTGGCTTTGCTGTCATCTTCTAACAAACTCTTCAACTGTGAAATCAAGTTCTTGTTCGTAAATTCCTGCAGCTGTCAAGGTGGAAAACAAACGACATGTACATAAAAAAATAATTAATTTTTGAATGTTAAAAAAAATGTTTTTGCAAATACAACATAAAAACAAAGCCACCAACCAAGTCCCTATCAACAATTTCAGAGGAAAGGATGATCCATAGACAAAGAACAGCCGATGATCTGATGACTTCAGAAGTCCTACCGACACTCCAGGCACAATTTGGCAGGACCATCTTCTCAACAACATCTACCAATCTTCCTCTCGATTGTTTGCTGGTTGTTTGTTGAATGCTTAGTGTTGAGATGAGTGTGTAGCTTTTATTCTGTCTCACTCAATTTTAATATACATATATATTCAATTAAAATGTTCACTCGGTTTGATGGTTTACAAAATGTTACGAAAAGTTAAGAAACAAATTCAATTACATAATATGAAAAGTTAAAATATCTAACTCTTGGACAACAAAAATTTCTTTATGGTGGCTGAATAGATGTGACAGAAGAGCCAGGAACCTGTGTCTGACCATATGGTTCTTAGATGGTTCCAAATTATTTTTGAAAATTACCAACACACCGTCCATATCTGACTTGATCGAAGACCCTGAATTCAAAATCAAAAAAGAAGACAGGCGTTAATTTAGAGCTCCAAAAGATGGGATAAACAAAAATAATTAAGTAGATAGAAAGAAATGTCGCAAGTGGAAAGGCAGGATTCACAAATATTTGCACAACATGGTGAGTGAAGGAGAATGTAACAACTTGCAGACTCTATGAAATGGTGACAAAAAAATGTGCATCCAACTATAAAAAAATTTTCAATCTGCAATTACGATTAGGTTTGTGATCAATAAACAACTGGGCAAAACATAAAATAATATTACATCAAAGAGTGCTAAATATGCCCAGTAAAAAATAATCAATTTAAATGTTAGAATACATAAAAAGTATTTGTATGCCCTCAACTTCACGATTTATATTAAAATTATATTTAAAGTAATAAAACATACCGGCGATTAACATTTGATGCAGGCTTTAAAAATCAAACAATGCAAATCGGTAATAAATTACTTTTTGGTTGAATAAAACCTAAGTTTTGTGATAGCAACTTTATTAGAAAATTCAAAAAGATGAATATCTATTCATCACATCAATAAAATGTATTTAAATGAAATTAGAAGAAAATAATCTGAAAACTAACACTACCTGCTGAGTTTATAAAAGTTTCAAAGAGAAGCAATTCAGGTGAATGTTGTGTCCAGTCTCGCGAAAGTGGAATCATTTGCTCTATGAAGGTACGTGCGTGTTTCGTCATCAGTTCGTCTCTTGCGCACATGCCTTCGATTTTGTATAACACGTCTATGCAACCTTCAACCTGAAGACAATTAATTTATGATTATGATTATGATTATAATTATTATTATTATTATTGTTATTAAAATTATCAACTAAGATTTTCAAAAGAATATACAAATGTAAAAAAAACTACAGCTGTCCAACAGACAAACAAATCGAAACGCTATATAAATCCAATAGTTAATCAACATCGTTGTTTATTATCACGGGGTAAATAAGAATGTTTTCAACATCTTCTGGAACCTGACAACATCTAAAGCCGGGTCTGGCAAGTCTTTGGGAAGAATGTATTGATGTAATTTTCAAATTCAAATTTTTGTTTAGCCGATTAAAAGATTGATTAGGAGACCAAAAAAGAAAAATAATTCCTGCGTCAGAACACTGTGCTTCATAAATAACTGTGATTTTTATAAAAATGCTTCTCCGTTAGAATTATATAAAAAAAATACAACGAATGGATGAATGAATTAATTAATTAACTAATGAACGAATGAATGAATGAAAACTAATTAAGATTATAATAAAATATAATAAAAGAGTAAATCAAAATATAATAACAGAGTGTAAAAAGTTTAAGATATCCAAATATAATAAGTACATTTATATTTACTATAACATGTCATGTAATTCTACGGTTGTAATAATTATTTTAATTATTAGCACACACACACACACACACACACACATCAGCACATATCCATCCACACACGATCAAACACACTTACATGCATACATTCACAATTTACATACACAAGAATACGTACACATACACTTTTACAACACTTACCAACACACACACACACACATTCACACCTGCTTTTGAGCAATACACACACTCACACATAGTGTACGTTATTTACACACTAGAAATGAATATTTAAATAATGTTCTTCTCAGACCGAATGCAATGAATTTAACCGGTAAATTTAAATCAATAGTGTTTTACACAATTAAATATTTTTTAAATTTATTTTTAATCAGATGTGAAATTTTTATGTTCTTTTATTTTCTAAACTAGACAATTCCCGCCTAACACGATTGAAAAGATCTGCGTCTGTTTGGTAATTCATAATAATATGATATAAAAAAAATAAAAAATTACCTGGGCGGCCAGTTGTTGTGATCTGTGAAGAGCTAATAAATTCAATAACAAAAACAGCAGTTCATAGCCGATGGACTGACATCTGTCCGGTACGGTGTGCAACATTGAATGGACGCACATCAGCAGAGATGTTTGCATTTTGTGCTGTTTAGTTAAGCGTTCAAATATTCAAAACACAAATATTTCAATTTTCAGTTTATTGAATTGTACGTAATAAACTCGTGTTTCAAATTTTTAATTATTTCGAAAATGTAAAATTATTTTAAAATGCTCAATCATAACAAGCCTGCTGTCATGTTCCTGGGAAACAGCTAAAAAAGTTTAAAATCGCTGGCATTTCTTTTCCAGTACAAAACAGCGTCAAACAATCAACTAATCAATCTTCGTTTTGCGTCCAGAGACCCGGTTTCCCGAGGTAGGACGTTGTTTTCTTTGCCATCAACTTTTTGCGCCAAATTAGACGATCAGTTGTATCCATTTCATTTAATTTAGAGCTTTCATGTCTTGCTCGATTGTTTGCGACCAAGACTTCTTTGGACGGCCTTTGGGACGTGTGCCAGGTACTTCAACATCTGCAAGAGAAGTTATGGCACTGTTTCCACTTCGTTTGACATGACCAAACCACCGCAGACGGTGTTGCCGGCATTCGTCCTTTATATCATCTAAACCAGCACGACGCAGGATTTCGGTAGATTTGATGTGGTCCTTCAGAATAATTCGTTGCATCCATCGGAGCATTTTCATGTCGGTTCGTTGAAGTTGTTGTTCCAGTTTGGTTGTCATTGGCCATGTTTCTGCACCATATAACAACACCGGACGTATCACAGATTTATAAAGTCTTGATTGTAGTGGTAGTGGGATGTCACGCCGCAACAGTATAGAAGCAAGGAGATGCCATTTATTCCAGGCCGCACATATGCGTGCTCGAACGGCAGCTTCAGCTGTTCCAGTACAATCCAGAACATCCCCTAGATATTGAAACGATGTGACTTTCTCTACCTTAATGGCTTCAAAAACAGTGCTATTTCGAATTTGTTGTTGTGGATTGATGCAGCAGGACAAACAAAATTGGACACTTTAGAAAAGTACCAATTATTTTTGAACAACGTTTGTGACACCACTGGTTACACTGCTGACACTTGATTGAATTGTTACCAACACCAGCTTTACAAACTGAACAGGGCCATCGTCCAGTAGCTGTGGATTGGATGGGTTCAAAAGTGTTCATTGCTTTGGTTTTGCTGATGTTGACTTTGAATCCATGATCGGCGAGTCTGGTGTTCCATTCTTCAAACATCAGTGCTGCATTCTGCTCAGACGGGGCTGTTAAAACAATATCATCAGCATATACTAGATTCCAAATGTCACCAGTGCGTATCGGTTTTGTGATTTCTTCCATCACAGTTATAAATAACAGTGGACTGAGAATCGAGCCTTGGTGAACTCCAACGCCGATGTCAAATGCATCTGTGTTTCCAAACGTTGTGCTGACAAGAGTCTTAGTATTCGTATACATTTCCATCACAAGTCCAACAAGATATTCTGGAATGAATTGTCGACGTAAACTCCACCTGATTGCTTCACGGGGAACTCGATCAAATGCTTTTTCAAGGTCTACAAAAATTTGTGATAGTTGTTGATGCTTTGCGAGGTACTTCTCTTGCAGTTGCCGACGAATGTGAATTGCATCAATTGTTGATTTCCCAGCTAGAAAACCAAATTGATAATTTCCGATTGTAATGCACGACGTTAATCTTCTCTCAATGATTTTTTCGACAATTTTCAGGGAGTGTTCTAACAGACGTATACCCCGATATGATGAACAGTTCAATGGATCACCTTTGCCTTTGTATAGCGGGACTGTCATGCTATAGTTTTATTCAGTCGGCATTGAGCAATTTCTCCAGATTTCACGGCAAAGTTGTAGTAACGTTTGGATACCTGCAGTACCAGATGCTTTGATAATGTCATTTGTGAGTCCAGAGGGCCCTGCTGCCTTTCCATCCTTCATAGCTTTCAGAGCTTCTGTAAGCTCCTCTACAGTGATGTCTGGAATCGGACCTTCGATGGGTGGAGCATCAAAGTTAACATTGATGAGATTTGTTTCGTTTAACAGACGATTGAAGTATTTTCTCCACTGTAACTTGATCTCATCTTGTTCAAGAACCATCTCATTTTTGTCGTTTTTGATACATGAGGCACCAACTATGTCTTTTTTCGTACGCTTTCCTTGTTTTGCTATACGATACAGAGATTTCATTTGTTCACCTTTGCTTTTAGTGAGCCACTCTCTGCACTGATCTGTCCGTGCCAGTGCAACTTGACCTCTTGCATAGTTGTTCTTCCCACGGAAAATTTTATGGTCATCTACAGACTTTGATTTTTGCCATTGCTTGTATGCAACTTTCTTTTCAGCTATTGCATTTTGTACACTGTCATTCCACCACCAAGTGTCACGTTCATGCTGACGTTTTGTACCAGTTTTCCCACAAACTGTAGTTGCAGCGTTTATCAAAACTGTTTTGTATGTACTCCAATCTGTACTGGCTTGCGATTGGTGGTCTAACTGTGTGGCGACAATCTGTTGAAATTTTTCTCGATGAATATTGTTTTTCAGCTTCCATGTTTTGATTCTCCGAGGCATTTGTTTAGACTTATGTTTTGACAGTTCGACAACCAGGTCTGCCACAAGGAGTCTATGTTGGGCGACACATGATTCGCCAGTTATAACTTTGACGTTTTTGAACAGCCTTTGGTGTGGTTGCTTGACAGCGAAGAAATCAATTTGCGTAGCTGATGGTCCACTTTTGTATGTTATGAGATGTTCCAACCTCTTTCTAAAATATGTGTTCAGTAAACAAAACCTAGGACTTTCAGCAAACTCAAGGATGCGGTTGCCATCTTCATTCCGTTTTCCATAGCCAAAACCGCCATGTACGTTGTCAAAACCATCTGTTTTCTCTCCAACGTGGCCATTGAGATCGCCTCCAATCAGGATTGTTTCAGATTTTGGTATTGTTGAGATGGTGTCAGAGAATGCAGACCAGAAGTCATTTTTCATCTCTTCTGATTCGCCTGTCTGTGGTGTGTATGCAGAAAAAATAATCATTGTTTGCTTTTCTATGCGAAGCTTGATCCACATGAGACGAGAATTAATCCTTTTAATATCCAGTACTTCTTGGGCTAGCAGTTCTCTGACAAAAATTCCAACACCATTTTTGGCCGTCTTTTGACCATTCCAGAATAGTTTATATTTTTCTTTGTCTGAGTTGACATGACAGACACCATTCGATTTCCATCGGGTTTCCTGAAAGCAGCAGATGTCAATCCTTCTGTGCTCGAGCATTTCTGCGATTGCCAGTCAGTGATCCAACATTGAGCGTTTCAAGTCTAAGTACCATAGAGGGGCCATTCTGAATTTTTTTGAATTTTTAACCTCAATTTTTGAATTTTTTTAATGTCTAAGCGTCAAACACTTAGACATTATTTTTGATCCTTCCCTTTCTTTTAACTTCCAAGTTTTAGCCACCACAAATACTTGCCACTATATCATCCGGTCCATTCCTCGCATTCGACATCATCTCTTCGTCACTAGATCCTGTTTTGTTTTTTCTCTCCTCAAATACTGCAGTTCCTACTTGGTCGGTGGGCTCATGAAGCTCATTTCTCCCCTTCAACGAGTGTGAGATAAATTAGCCAAACTAGTTCTTGACGTGTTCTATCTCCCATCTAGCTCAATAATCTCTCAACAACTTCAATAATCAAACTGAACTGGCGTCCCATTCACTGATGTATTACTTTCAATTTTGCAGTTACCTTTTCTTTATAACCTCTTGCATCTTAGAGACGTCGCCATCATCGTCACCATATTTATTCAGAATCAAAAAATAATTCATATCAACCTATCACAAAATTTTCTCCGGTTAACCTTTCTTTTTTATGAGAAAAAACTGCTTAGAAGTGAGGTGTTGAAATGTAAAAACAAACATCGTTAGATGAAAAATGTAGTAAAATAAGAAACGTTTGAAAATGAGAGATGTTGGAAAGTGAAAGATGAAAGGTGTTGGAAAATGAGAGATGTTGGAAAGTGAAAGATGGAAAGTGTTGGAGAATAGGAGATGCTGGAAAAAGAAAAACGTTGACGAGTGAGAGATTTTGAAAGATGAAAAATTTTCGGAGATAGAAAATGTTGGAAAATGAGATGATGCCCGAAAGTGAGAATATTGAAAAATGAGATATGTTGGAAGATGAAAAATGTTGGAGATGAGAGAAGTGGGAAGGTGAGATATGTTGACAAATAAAAATTGTTAGATAATGAAAAATGTTGGAAAATGAAAAATGTTGGAAAATGAAAAATGTTAGAAAATGAAAAATTTATAGGTAGCCAGTGCAAGAGAACGAGATGTGGAGATATATGAGAAAAGAAAGAGACAGCAGAGAGCAGCAGAGTTAAAAGCTTTATTTAAAGGATAGAGTGTACAATCAGAAGACCATAGTAGAGCGAGTTACAATAATCAATCCTAGATAAGACTAACGAAATGACAAAAAAGAAAAAAGATGAGAGAGATGTTGGAAAGTGAGAGATAAAAGATATTGCATGATGGATGATGTTGGAAATGGAGATGTTGGAAGTTGAAAGACCTTGGAAGATGGGAAATGTTAGAAAACGAAAGCTGTTAAAAAAAGACTTTTTAAAATTTATTTAAAATGAAGGCTTATGATTTTTGTCAACCACACCTGAACAAATGTGTGTGCAGTCCTTTATTTTAAATACGGTATATAGTTCAAAAAATAACTTTTATTTAAATAGTATATATTTTTTCATTAGCTATTAGTTAATTTTTGTACAATCGAATATTTATGACCGTGATTATGATTGCGAATATTTAAGATTGTAATTTAATAGTAAAATTTGTATTATTTATTTGAATTTATTTGAAACTTTTATACAAGGTATTGGTCAATTAGCATTCACTGTTCACATGTCCAGAGAACAAAATTTAATAAAACTTGATACCTACATCTGCCACCTGACAAATTCCACGCTCCAGAAGTGTTTTAACTATTTCTGCCAAGTGGTTTCCAAGTTGGAGCGATGAAGAGCCCCGAATGACGTGTGCAAGTATTAAAACTGAGCCCGACGATTGCAACAGCATAATATTCTGAATCACCACTTTACACCAAACATGGGCTGGCACATAATAACCGATAAGTTCTGAGCACTTCATTATCTTGCAGGCATGAAAATTTGTTAAAAAATTAGTATACAAATTTATAGAACTATAACGTCATTATTATTATTAATCAAAACATCTTGAAAAATAACGTTATCAATACACATCATAAATCCGATTATAAAAATGAGAGATGTAAAATACAAAATCAGAAAAAAAATATTAACATATTCGACAACCAGTCCATTTTCGTCCATGCAACCTTTGTACAAAGTTTCCAATGTTTTATCCAAATGTTGTGTCACATTATCTTCCTCGTTGATTAATAGTGTATATAACAATTGAGAAGCTTTTATCCTAGTTGGTGCTACCCAATCACCAATGTCCCCGATGATGGCAGGTAGTATTTTAGAATAATGTAAATACACTAGTTGTCTACAGCCTAAATTTGGTCGAATTACTTGAAGAAAATTAAAAAATTTTAGATGTAAACAAAAATAAACTATTAATAAAAAAACTGCTAACTAATATATCAAGCTGTGCAAAAATCTTTAAAAACAAATTTATCTACCACTTAAATATTGGCAAAAAAATTAATTATAAAAAAAAAACAAATTCCATCAATGTTAACTTTGACGCTCCACCCATCGAAGGTCCGATTCCAGACATCACTGTAGAGAAGCTTACAGAAGCTCTGAAAGCTATGAAGGATGGATTGGCAGCAGGGCCCTCTGGACTCACAAATGACATTATCAAAGCAACTGGTACTGCAGGTATCCAAACGTTACTACAACTTTGCCGTGAAATCTGGAGAAATTGCTCAATGCCGACTGAATAAAACTATAGCATGACAGTCCTGCTATACAAAGGCAAAGGTGATCCATTGAACTGTTCATCATATCGGGGTATACGTCTGTTAGAACACTCCCTGAAAATTGTCGAAAAAATCATTGAGAGAAGATTAGCGTCGTGCATTACAATCGGAAATTATCAATTTGGTTTTCTAGCTGGGAAATCAACAATTGATGCAATTCACATTCGTCGGCAACTGCAAGAGAAGTAATTCGCAAAGCATCAACATCAATCACAAATTTTTGTAGACCTTGAAAAAGCATTTGATCGAGTTCCCCGTGAAGCAATCAGGTGGAGTCTACGTCGACAATTCATTCCAGAATATCTTGTTGGACTTGTGATGGAAATGTATACGAATACTAAGACTCTTGTCAGCACAACGTTTGGAAACACAGATGCATTTGACATCGGCGTTGGAGTTCACCAAGGCTCGATTCTCAGTCCACTATTATTTATAACTGTGATGGAAGAAATCACAAAACCGATACGCTCTGGTGACATTTGGAATCTAGTATATACTGATGAAATCGTTTTAACAGCCCCGTCTGAGCAGAATGCTGCACAGATGTTTGAAGAATGGAACACCAGACTCGCCGATCATGGATTCAAAGTCAACATCAGCAAAACCAAAGCAATGAACACTGGTGAACCCATCCAATCCACAACTACTGGACGATGGCCCTGTTCAGTTTGTAAAGCTGGTGTAGGTAACAATTCAATCAAAAGTCAGCAGTGTAACCAGTGGTGTCACAAACGTTGTTCAAAAATAATTGGTACTTTTCTAAAGTGTCCAATTTTGTTTGTCCTGCTTGCATCAATCCACAACAACAAATTCGAAATAGCACTGTTTTTGAAGCCATTAAGGTAGAGAAAGTCACATCGTTTCAATATCTAGGGGATGTTCTGGATTGTACTGGAACAGCTGAAGCTGCCGTTCGAGCACGCATATGTGCGGCCTGGAATAAATGGCATCTCCTTGCTTCTATACTGTTGCGGCGTGACATCCCACTACCACTACAATCAAGACTTTATAAATCTGTGATACGTCCGGTGTTGTTATATGGTGCAGAAACATGGCCAATGACAACCAAACTGGAACAACAACTTCAACGAACCGACATGAAAATGCTCCGATGGATGCAACGAATTATTCTGAAGGACCACATCAAATCTACCGAAATCCTGCGTCGTGCTGGTTTAAATGATATAAAGGACGAATGCCGGCAACACCGTCTGCGGTGGTTTGGTCATGTCAAGCAAAGTGGAAACAGTGCCATAACTTCTCTTGCAGATGTTGAAGTACCTGGCACACGTCCCAAAAGCCGTCCAAAGAAGTCCTGGTCGCAAACAATCGAGCAAGACATGAAAGCTCTAAATTTAAATGAAATGGATACAACTGATCGTCTAATTTGGCGCAAAAAGTTGATGGCAAAGAAAACAACGTCCTACCTCGGGAAACCGGGTCTCTGGACGCAAAACGAAGATTGATATTGACATATTGGCAAAAACGTTACCAATTTCATCTTTTAAGTACATGAAAATTTATGTTATTAACAACAAAACTTATATAAAAAAATGAATACATAAATAATAAGCTTTCGCGAATTTCAAACTTTTAGAAAATTTTAAATATTTTACAAAATAATTGAAAGTAGATATTTCTATTCATCTTTTCTTTTTCATAATTTTTTTCATATTTTTCTATTTATTTTATAATGCTTAATCTTTCATTTAACAAACTAAAACAGATATTAGCAACTGTCAGTGAACTAAACACAACAGTTAAACTTAAACTAACAAACCCTAAGATACTACTTGCCATCACAGTTTGCGTTTAAGTTTCGCGTCTACGATGTTTTGATGACCTGGATTGGTACAAACTTAGACACCATTGATGTAGTAAAAACTTGGCTGTTAATGCCTATCAGCAGTTGTTTGTTAGAAAATCTATCACTTTCTTATAAGTCAGGCGGCATAAATTTAGATTGCTCACGAATTTTGCCAAATTACTAAGAATGAAATTACCTGAAATCAAACGGCAATGTTGAACTAAAATGCTTGTGAATAGAGTCCTACAACAATTATATAAAAATTGACAATTTACTTCTTGAGTCAAGATATAAAACGCAATCAACTTGGTAACAATTTTGAAATCTATGAAGGACTATATTTTCGCAAGCCCCTATAGAGGTACCGTTCGAATTTGTCAGGAACAGCCTAATTCAGCAGCTTCCTACAAATGCCAATCTGTTCAGATGGGAAAAGTCGACTACTGCACTTGGTCCGCTTTGCAGCGATTTGAAAACCAACAAATATTTTTTATCCAACCGCAGCTCGGTGGCGGAGTTGTAGAGGTTAGGAATAAAATTTTTAAAATAACCATAGAAAAATTACAATCCTATGCAGAACCAAATTTCGATGGGCTGGTATAAGATCCGCCCGCTGTCCCGTCCCTTCAAATCATTACATACTGACATAAAAACATTGGAACTAACCGTTTGACATAAATTCAACTTTTCAATTCAAGACAATGAAAAATTTCGAAATATTCTAATAACCTCCATAACAACTCGCTTGATGATTTACAATGTTCAACAATAATAATTAACACTTTTAAAATCTGTACGCTAGGTATTTTGTTTCCATCTATTGCTAACCAATAATCTCATTAAATCAGTAATATAGTCATCTGATGCTGTTTATTGTGGTACCTGCTCGTTTTTGCATTATGATATTTAATTTGTTCTGTTTTATTCAATATAGAAAATTGTACCATTTATGTAATGTACCACCAACAATATGGTTATCATTTTCAACATAAACAACAAATAAAATCTATAACATTAAAAATATTAGCATCTATATTATCTCGGCACAATATAACAGTAGAAAGGAAAACAATTTTCAAACAAACCTCTTAAAACTGAACTACTAACTATTTGGCGGAAAGTGGTCGGGTTGCGGTTTGACGAAGTCCATCTTATCTTTCAATTCATTTTCATTCTCAAGTTCATACTTTTTACCTTGAAAACAATTTAAAAACAATTTATATAGCTGATAGGTGTGTCAGAAGCTGATGAATAGAATAAAAAAGTCCGACCCATAATGGATGGAGACTATAAACGAGGATTGATTGGTTGATTATACAGCTGATACAAAATAATTATTTAAACTCTTGACTGTACGCTCCTGCCACACATACCATACAAACAAATATCTCTCACACATCCTAAGAACTATTTCAACATTCATACTTCTCATAAGCTGATAAAGTTTTAATGAATCGCCGCCAAAACTTTTTCAATCAAAAATTTATTTGCAAAATTTCATAAAATTGTTACTATTTAATTTTGAAAACTCTACACATCATTTTTAAAAAATATTTCTTAATGCATGTTTTGCAGGTGTCCTCATCAAATTCTACAGAAAATGTATGAAGCATATGGCATAGGCATCGTATTTCGAGCAGTTTGTCCTATAAGCTTCATTCAATACATCTCTTAGCGAACCTTGTTTATCAAACCAGTCTCTCTATAAATTTTTCTAAAAGTACCCATAAAACTTCATCAACATAAACGTTTCTCAGTTTGTCAGCTAGATAATTTTCTGCAATTCATTTTAATTTTATTCATTTTTAAAAAATGAAGAACTAATAAAACAAAAATTATCACAAAAAAACTTCATATAAATTTGAAAAAAATTGAATAATTGTTTTTACTAATGAAGCAACTAACCAACATCTGACCATAAACAGTCAGCTTCTTCCCTAATCTCCAGCACATCATCGGTCATTCCACTCAACAGTAATGGAATTAATTTGTGATGGAAAGAGTATCTGTCGACAAGATTCAGCAGCCAGTCACCAACCACTTTGATCACTTCCAACCTTACAACTGCCACAGGGTCAAACAATCTTTGAGCCAAATGAGAAATAACATCATTAACAAGCTTGTTGTTGCTATTCTGAATCACAGTGCCTGATTTTTTATAGTGAAATGTTATGTTCAATTTTTAAAGTGAATTAATGATGCTATCTATAAATGTAACAGTTTGAAGTATATACATAAAGAAATTGTTAAAATATAAAATTTTCTAAGACTTTAAGTTTATTTTTAAATTGTAGCATGAAAAAGGTTTTTGTTGGTTTGGTGTTTGGTGTAGCAATTTTCTATTAAAATAATAATTCACTTTTTCCTAATAGTTATAAAAGTATATGACTAATTTTGTACTAAAAAATTTTTTTTATAAGTTTGTATAACAAATTTCAATATAAAAAAATTATCATACATGTAAAGCAAAATGTGGTCTTGAATGTTTTCATTTGAATTAAAAAATAATTTAAAAAAAATTAATGAATAAATGCTGCAGAATAGTAGATACATCGACGTCACAAATATCTCAAATAAATGACAACAGCACAAAACTACCCAGAGCTTTAATCACAGCAACTCGAATTTTTGAATGTTGGTGAGTGATAGTTATTGACAAAGGTTTTATCAATGGTTCCGAGTGTGAATAGAACTGACTCGAAACTGTTTCAGCAAGAGAAGAAACACATTCGCAGCTTGCTTTTTTAACTTCTGGATAAGTATCAATAATTGTTTGTTCTAATATTTTTATTATATCTCCAGTATATGGAGCAACGTTCTTTTTGCAGCTGTGAATGACTAATATTAACATTTTAACAAGCCGGAGTCTGATTTCTTCTGAGTTTTCAACAACTTCACTCTGAGCTAAACGTTTGATCATAATTGGAAATATGTACTGCAGTAATTCTTCAGGTTCTGGCATCGTTTCCAAACCTTGCACCACGATCGAAATGGCAATTTCTCTGCACTTTTCTATTGGATCGTTGAAAACCCTCAAAATGGGACTGATGAAAGAATTCTCGGACAAAATTAATTGAAGTTCGCCGGAAGATAACTGATCACCAAGCGACGAATCTTGACCGACATAGAGACGGTCCTTTATTTCCTCCAACGCTTTTTTGCGGACGTTTCGATTGTCTTCAGCCAAACAATTTAAATGTCGTTGTACTGTTTTATTGAATTCAAAAACTCTTGAACTCATTATTTTATTCAAAAACGATTCACAAAATTCTTGAATTAGCAAAACTTGAGCACTTAGAATAGATTGATTGAATAAAGAACGTCCGTCTCCTTTGGTGATAATTTTGCTAGTTAAAAGTGAAAAAAGCAAGGTTTGGCTAACCGGCATTTTGGCTTATTAGCTTTCATAGCTTATTGTATTGACATTTTTACAAAAATAATTAGTTATAAAAAAATTTTGTTTGAAAAAAATAAATTATTTATTTTGAAACTATTTATATTAATTTTAAAATAAAATTTCAAGTTTTTTGTCAATTGTTTACGGAATAATTTATTAGTAGCTTACAAACTTGGAAAAACTTAAAATAGCTTAACTAAAATAACAACACTTGGGTCTTGATGGCAATTTGTAAAATGTATTATGTAAAAGAAATTTCAAGTAACCAAAAAAATATTACTAAATTAAACTAAAGTAAAAGTAAAAATAAAAACACTTTAAACGTATCTCTGAAATAATAACTAAAAGTAGGTGGGTGGGTGGGTGGGTGGGTGGATGGATGGATGGATGGATGGATGGATGGATGGATGGATGGATGGATGGATGGATGGATGGATGGATGGATGGATGGATGGATGGATGGATGGATGGATGGATGGATGGATGGATGAATGGATGGATGGATGGATGGATGGATGGATGGATGGATGGATGGATGGATGGATGGATGGATGGATGGATGGATGAATGAATGAATGAA